TGGTAGTGGACTTGTCTAGAGCGCTGGCGAGTCGTAGGACTTGGTGGTGCAAGGTAGTGCGTATGTGATGTAGCCGGAGGCGTTGGTGGTAAACAGTTTGTTGATGTTCCAGAGCTGTTTTCATGGTAGGCAGTAAGGCTTGTAGCTGTTGTATTCGACCTTGTAGACGAGGATCCTGATTGAAGTTGTCTGACTCGGCGAGCTGCAATTGCTTGATGGTGTCATTGAATCGATTGTCAGTCTATTGATCTGAATGTTGGTGTCCTGCAGCTGCGAAATAATTGGTGCGTCCAATGCAATAATAGGGTCCATCTCCATCAGTCAATGCAAAAATCTGTACACGGAGACGGTAATTGATCGAAAGCACAGCTGCGATAAACATGAAGCGTTGAAGAGAAAAAGCTGTCGAAATCACATGATAATCAAAGTATAGTGGATGAGAGCTTTGCGTGCATATGCAACAAACTAAGCCAGTGAATTCCATAAGTCTGTACAAGCGCATCACTGCAGTACCCGAGACAGTTGATTGGTTGTGGGATTGCTCATTTGTTAGATTGGAAAGTCTGCAAGTGTGTAGTAATCTCAAGTGTGAGACTGTGGGAGTCAAATGTTGGTAAGTGGAAAGCTGCATCATTGCTTTTTGCTGCAAATGTGGAAGAGATGTGCGTTGAAGCTCGCTCGGTTGGAGTCTGTTGCTCACAACTGTAAAGATGAATCAACATTGGTGAACCGCAAAGTGAAATAAATGTGAAAATAAGTACATAGGGCATCAGAGGAGCTGAATGTGGTTCATCAGGAAGAAGTCCAAAAACATAGTGCAAAGCATAGTCCAAATATGGTCGGGCCAGTGTTTGATCGCATAGAGTATCTGGCAGTCTTGGTCTCATGAGGTATCATGGAAGTCTGCTGCATTGCCTGTCCCTGTGCGTTCGTTGAGTGGTGCTATGTCTTGTGATGTCATCGTGCTAGCGTCTCTAGTAGCTGGTGGTTCAATCAATGCGGCGGCAGGGGACTTTGTGTCAGTGTTGTCTAGTGGTTGTGGTGTATAAAGTAGCTGTAGAGTTTTCCAACGTGTTTTGCAATCAAAAGGTGTTTTGTTGAGCGTCTTGGCGATCTGCTTCCAACTGGGACGAGCTCGTTTGTTGAGCTTGAGTGATGCTAGTTTCTCGTCATCACTGGGTTCCCAGCCTCCATTGTCAGGATATGGAGGGGATGGCGTTGGAGCCGGAATGGTCTGTCGTGGTGAAGGTGGAGGTGGTGGTGGTGGTGTAGTGGAAGAGCTGTGTAGAGAAAAGGTGGCTGCAGGTAGGGGAAGAAGACGTTTGCTTGGGTCTGGAGGAGGTGTTGGCGGCGAATGTGTTGTTGGTGGGTGTCGTGTTGGTGACTGCTGGTGTGGGGAAGTCGGTGTGTAAGAAGGTGAGGGCGAAGGTTCTGGTTTGCATCGCGTGTGAAGTTTGCCGGCGGTTGGTGGTGGACTGCGGCTGCGACGCGGAGTTGTGATGGGAGGTGGTGGTGGGGGTCTGTTGTGGGATTGTTGTGGTGCGAAAAGGGTAGGATTGGGCAGTATGTCTGATGGATGTGGTGTGAAAGACGGGAGGTTTTGGAATGTAGTAGCAATGGATGTGGCTGCTTGTAAGTGTGCTAGTAGCAGTCTATGTGCTAGAGCCATGTCGAAAGGTGACGTCATTGTCCCGAATCTTGTGGTAGGGCTTGATCAGGGTGAAGTATGGCCACGTGCTGTTCAGGGACCGGGCAACTCGCAGAAATCACACAGTTTGAATATTGTAGAGATGGCTGCGGACAAAGTCAAAAAATGAGATTGGAGCTGTGAAAGCAGTGTTGTTGGTAACATGCAAAATCTTATAGCAGTGGAAAAAGCACGGTGCGAGGAAATACTGCAGTCGACCAATGCGTGTAGAAGAATAAAATACGTGTAGAGGAACAAAATGGCATCATTCGTTCGAAAAATCTGAACCCAATGGCGAGGTGATCAATTGTTAAATAGATACTGAAGATCAAGAATTGAAAGCGAGTGATCAAAAAGCAGTGATTTTGAGGTCTGGCGTCAACCACAATGCAAGGGTGAAAAATGAGCTTATACAGCAAGAAGGGTCCGTCACACTTTGGTGAGGTGCTTGATCCGTGACCTCTCAGCTTAAATGAAGCTCAATGGAGGTTTTGCATCACTTTTCCAAGCGATTCCTTCTATGCGTGGGTGTTTCGGATGTACAACCCAACATTTTCCAGGGGTGTACTTGACTATTCCCTCGCCGCAAGGAGAAGGTCATTGGCGGCGGATTCGCCGCCTGAGGTCACTTTCTGTCCGTGGCCATAGGCCTTAATGGTAAGAATAAGGCCGCTCTTGTTCTTTGACATGTTTGAAGCATTATAGAGTACTCGTGCTGCCTCGGTAGCATCGTGTTCCTCGTAGTTGCTAAGCTCAGAGGCCTGGCTAAAAAATCCAACGTTATGCTGGTCGTGTACCACAGAACGCACGATCTCGCCTGCTTCGAGTATGGAAATAATGTTCCCCTCTTCACTTACATGCGCCGCGAAAATGTGTTTTATTGGGGGAATATTCAAAGCTTCTCTTCGTGTGGGTGGGAGTGTCGGTGCGTCCCCTCTGCTCGCGAGTGTTGGTATGGTGAGTAATAGGAAAGTGTGATGATCGTTGCTATTGGTGTCTTCGTTCCACTTTGTGTGGGTGAGAAGTTGCATGTCTGTAAAGTGGGTGGTGTTGATGTGAGCTGCTGTAAGCACTTTGGCCACGTACGAGATCATGGGTTCATTGTGAATGTCAAGCGAACGTGCATGATTGTTGATCCATTGGAAAACTTCCAAATGCGCTGGATCTGTGGGCGGTTGAAATTTTGGTAGCTGAAGGTTGTGTGGTCGTCTCTGGACTGGAACTACGTGGTTGGTGGTGTGGGTGCTGTGGGTGTTGTGGTGGCGGTCTGCTTGGGGGTGAAGAGTGGATTGGGTTTGAGTGTGATGGGATGAGAGCGGGGAGTTGGTTCTGTAGTTAGTTTTGTGGTGGTGGCAACAGTTATACTTTTGGTGGCTGGTTGGGATTTGTCAAGAGCCACTGCCAATGGCTGCGATGCACGGCTTTCATCAGGTGTGGAATGTGGTGTACTGGAAATGGATTGTGTAGCTGAGCGTCGTCGGCGTGGCAGTGGGGATCGAGTGCGTGTCCTGGATCTGGATGTAGCTTGGGAAGCTGCGCTGGTTGGAACAGCAGGAAAGGCTGAATAGCGGTGGTGTTCCTGTGTGCGTGGAGGTGAGCGATCTGGGTCACGCCAAATGCCTCGTGTGGTGCAGAGGGTGGGTGCAATGGAGGGTGTTGGTCTGGCTGAACGTGGCACAGAAAGTGATGGCGCAGGATTGGCGGGCTGTGTAATGGGTGTTGAGGTGGAAGGTGAAGTGGTTTTGTCTGTGGAAGTGGCTTGAATGGAATGCTGAAGTGTAGTTGCTGGTTGAGCAGGTTGTGGAGCAGCGGCAGCTGTTGGTGTATTGTCAGGTACTGTAGGGGTTGCCGTGTGTGTGGGATCCGCTGAGGCAAGCGGTGTTGGTGGTGGAATTGGCTGTGGTGTGGATTGGGACGCTTGTGGTTGTGGTTGTGGTGGCATGTGTTGAGTTGAAGCGGAAACGGCAATGTGCTGCGGGGCTGTGGGGACAGGTTGTGTGGATAATGTGACAGGTGTGGTTGAAATTGTGGCGCCGGTTGTATGTAATGTGTTTGCGGTGGAAATGTCGTGGGATGTGGGTAGATATGAGGTGTTGGATGATGTGGTGGAAATGGTGGAAGTGTTGGATATGGTTGTGGTGGAGCTTGTGGTGGATAAGGATACCAGTGTGGTTGTGTGGGCTGTGGTGGCGTGGTGTGGTAACGAATACGGCCAGGGATACGTCATGGCTGCTCGGCAAATCGAATAAGGTCGATGTATGTATGTAGATATGTAAAGTGAAGCAGTCCTGGAACTTGAACTTGAAAATATAATACAATATGGATTGCTACAAAGTGGAGGAGTGTGGAACTGGTTCTAATTAAAATCTCTGAAAAATTGAAAACTTGAAAGCTTGAAGAAACAAATGAACATGAGAAGGGGTGAAACTGAGGCAGTCGAACTCTGCAGTATGGTTTCAGTAAAGGTTTCAGTGGACTCTGCAGTAAAGCTTCACGTGTGCCAGGTGAGACTATCCAAGCAAGCTGATTTCGAGCAGGAAAAATTCAGTCGAATAAACTTCAGAAAAACTTCAGGAAACTTACTCCCACGGTGAGGAGTGAAAAGGTTCTTGCAGTAACGGCGCCCCGTAGGGATCACACAGCTTACCACAGTGGGAAGAAGCTGCGGAAACACACTTGAGAAGGTTGCTCCGTAGAGCGCGATTTCAGGCTTCTTCGCGGAGTGCATTAGCCCTTTAGAATGACTGCAAATTAGACCTTGACTGAAAAGAAGTGCTGAGTCAGTTGACCAGAATGTTGGAACAAGTCGTGGAAAGTGAAGTGATTCAAACAATTGGAAAATGGCAGGTACGTCGATTTGGCGTCCCAAATCGATATCACCAGCACACATCCAGTGTCTTCGTTGGTGCAAGACTGGATGGGCTGCTTGCACCCCCTGCGAGTGTTCTGTACAAATGGTTGAGGAGAATAGTAGGAATAGCTAGAGTAAGGCCCTTGGAAACAGGGGTGGACACACACACACACCCTCAAGCACCTTCGCTCTCCCGTAATCAAATTATGTCGCAGGGCTGGTGCAAGCCTGCTCTACAAAGAACGCCTGCAAACAGCTTCCAATCACGAAGGGTTATATAGTTGGTCGAAACTTCTTGTTACAAGTTACAACTGCTCTTCACTTTACAAAACTCTCATTAGGAAAATGTTTATCAAAGAAGCTCGCATATTTTGACAAAAAAGGTGCACTATGGCACACTTGAAGAAGCTTGCTGCACGAAAACGAGTTGCTCCCACGCCCTGGGCTTTCAAGTCGAGGCACATAGGCTGGGGAGAGGCAACGCTCCCGCAGCCAAAAGGGGTCCAAATCAAACTTTTGCCCAGCCTGGTGCGTCGATACCCACACGGCAACATACGATTCTCAACACTTTTAGGGGCTGGACATACCTGGACAAATCGGTCAGTGCCATCTACTAGCCTACTATCTAGGAGCAATTTATATATTGTTAGTGTCGGGTGCCAAAGCCAGCAATGCCCAGCATTCTGAGCCCACTCAGCCTGCCCAAACACTTCATCCCAACTGCAGCCACGTGTCCGGCAAGCTTAACTTCAATGAGCTCTTAGTTGCGAGTTCAACCTGAAAGCACTAACAGCCACCCAGTCCTGGCAGTTATATATACCAAGTATTGAATTACGGTGGAAAATGTAAGTGGAAGAAAGGATTCAGAATAGCCATGGTTCAACCTATTCGTGTTGCTCGCCGAGGCTGGGAACAAAATTGCTTGCAAGCAAAGATGCTGCCGGAAATGCACTCGACCTTGGAACAAAATCTGGAGTCCGGAAAAAGATCAAACAGTCAATCATCGATTCTTGACGTGATTGCCACGGGGCAGGCTTTTAAAACAACCATACCAACTCAACACGCATTCCAATCATTTACATACAGTTCCGCAACAGAGAGTGGACTTTAGAATGGATGTCGTCTTGAAAGAGTGCGATGCTCAACTTCTCAATTTCTGGATCATTGAACTCATTTAGCAAGCTGCACTCTTGTGCCCGAGGTGTTGTAGCCCTAATGGCCTTACCAGCCAACATCTTCCAAAATAAGCGTTCGAAGCAGCTTTTTCTCTGACAACCCAGGTGCATGGTTGGGGTATTGTGGCACCGATGCTGATGCCTATTCTCGCATCTCAAATGTGGTCGAATGCCAACTCTTGTTCGTCGTCCGTTCCCGCATGATGAAGGTTGGTCCTTTAAACTTTACTCTCTTACCCTGAGGTGCCAACTTCACTGCCAAGAGGGTGCACAGGGAATGGAACATCATCCTGTTGAGGGTATCGTTCAATGGCAACTATGTTCATCCACAGACAAGGATCATGCTGATCAAGGTTCATGGCTGCAAATTTGGATATCAGTAAGTCAGCAATGACTCTAATTTCATCTGCGATTGCAAAATATTATATAAATAATCCAAAAGAGTTGTTTGCCTTCATTAAAACCCTTATTGCCAAACGCTCTTGCCAACCTACTCCTCCGACAGATAGGCACTCTGAGCACCAGCACCGGCCTAGGAACACATGAGCAGTTGTTTGACGGTTGATGAAGAAGTCCCATCAACTGCAGCGACTCAGCTGTAAACTCAGATTTCCTAGAAGAAAGCCAACAGGACCCTTTCAAAATATGCATGACCTGAACAGTGGCAAGTAGGAAGTTGTCGCAGCCTTAGACCCAACAATCCCTTGGAAAGAGTTCCACAGGTTCGAATGCATTACGGGTCATATCACAACGTTGGCGGCAAACATGCATTCAACCCAGCCGAGGACCGAGGGAGAATAGAACCATTCAAGAGGACCCTTGGGCGAACTACAGTATGTCACTGAGTCATATCTGTACGGCACGTATGAGAGGCGCCTTTCTATCTAGCACTTGCAAGTGTGTAGATAAGGAGTTGCCAACACTTTGTCTCTTGGTTTCTTTAATGATGCCATTGGATATGTTGGTCTATCTCTGGGTGGCGCTGCTGGTGCAGCAAACAAATCTCTTGAACAACCCATTGAGTTGTATGGCCATACGTTGCTTAGGGGGCGGCACTGGCCATTCCAGCTACCGCATGACTCAGTCTCCAGACGCAAAATGTCATGCCAGTCTCACTGGCTGGTGGCTGGAGTTTTGAGCATAACATGTCGCGATGACAGCTGGCACAATCAAAACCTTACTTGGACTGACATCATTCACACGGCAAAGCACGGCCACAACCACCAAACTATATAGTTCTGGGTTGTTCGCAACGCGGTGCCTACATTCTATCAAGTGCCACCACCGTTCAATCTGGACCGGCCACGGGGACCTTGCTGTTGAATCTGAGCATGACATCATCACCACTGCCACCGCCACCCCCACCACGCAACCACCACCACCTGCACCATCACCACCACCAACCACCACCAACGGAATGAGAAGTAGCAAAAGGCAAATATATATATATATATAATGTGTATATATATATATATACAGTATATGTGTGTGACATGAACTGATCGAAACTGCCCTGGAGAATTACAGGCGGCTCCATTCCACCAGCACCCCTCAGCGCTACTTGGCAAACGCCAATGGTCAGCCCAGCACTCAAGCGTGCTGCAAGAAGGCATGGTTATCCAGAAATGTCAATGTTTGAGAGGTCAGAAAACCTGCAAGTTTCGTGAGCGGAGCAAGATTGATAGTGCCCTAACAGCGAATATTCCCAACCAGCATCTGAACTGACAACCCAATCAAAGAAAATTTGGACATGCAACGGCCTTCTCTATACAACAAACAAAGCCCTTCAACTGTTAAGCAAGCTTGCAAAATGAACGCACGTCTCAATGGCTTCGGCTTCAACCCTCAGAAGGTCACTCCGGAAGTTAAACCTCAACCTGAAACAAACACGAACAAACCTGACCCCAGAAGGAGACATGGCAAAATCAGCAGCATGAAACCTCTTGCATTTGGGGAGCCCCGTTCCTGGCATGTTTGCCCCAAGTTTCGTGCAGTTGGTCCATCACCAGGTGAGGCATTGGTCCACTCGTCCTGCTCGCATACTTTAGCAGTGGTGCATAACGTAAACACGATTGTATCCAAAAACATGTCGAGGAGAGGGGGCGAGAAACATCACGCCGCACTCTTTTTCAGTGTCTTTGAGCCAAGCGATGTTTATATTCAAGGTTGGTCGGCCAAGGTGCTATTGCGACCTTCCAAAAGGATGCCGGGATGCGTGCATGCTTGTTACATTCAAAAGCAACGTTACAGTAAATGTTTCCAACCCCTTGCACCAACTGTAATTGCTCTGAACCTGGACTTTTGTAAGAGACATTTTTCTACACATGCTCGCAAAGGATTGTCCTGTCCAAATCGATATACAACGAGGTGACTTCGAGATGTCTGGGAGCTCACATGTGGAGCGTTGCTCCTACAAAATGATGCCCCGCAAACGTTGATTGACCCTTCCTCGGCACAAGTGAAATTGCTTACGTGGCTCCAACAAAGTCGAAAAATACAGAACTGCAGGAAGGTTGACAGGCAATTGAAAATCATCTCATCAGTCTGATTTACGGGCTTTCCCGAAGAACTGCGGCGGCCATTGGTTGAGCCATGGAAACCATTGAGCCACTAATGGCATCAGCGACCCTGCCATTGGCTGCCATACGTGCCCTCTCTATTGCAGGTTCCTCCTGCAAAACCACTACGCTGTGCTGGCTGTACCGACAAGGGCATGCAAAGTCGATTGCGCAGCCCTATGGAAAACGATCTCTGTGCAAGAGATCTCTGACATCAAAGCTTTGGCCAGGGACTCGGATCAAGGTCTTGAAGCCTAACAGGTCCAACGACACCCAATCCAAGTAGTCATACCGGGAACCCGGCACTGCCTTGTTCTACCTTTTGATGTCACGCCCAACTCTCGATTGGACGCCTCCCACATTCCATGCGGGGCCCGGAAGCCGACACCAACAAGGCTTCGGCACTCCAAATTAGCCAAACGAATTCTCGGAAGATCTCCAGAGAGGCTCTCATCGTGACGAAGGGCACTAGGATTTCATCCTTCACGCCAAGCCTTACCAAGGCCAAAATTGGGTTGGGGATCCTTCTTGCAGCAGTGACGGCAGCCATCCGGTCTTGGCGCTAAGGATTCAATGGGCTCTGCTCCCTGAGCCACAAGGAAATACTTGGAGAAGCAGGGGCAAGCGTTTCCACTGAGAAAGCACAGGAGACTGATCGACTCGATGAAGAAACTTCAAGGTACCCTGAGAATGCCTCATGCCAAAGCAGTTAACCAACTAGCGCATGCACACACACACACATCTATCTATATAAATAAATAAGTAAATATATATATATATATACAGTATATAGTATTTACATCTATATGCATGTATATCACGTACGCGCTTATACGCACATCCTTCCATTCCAAGCTGTGCCCCATTCCAAGCTGTGCCATGAACAAGCTCAACACCGCGAGACTATGACAAAGGAGAAACACTTCAACCGTGGGGCACCAATGAAGCCATTGAGGCAGTAAGGCTAGGCTTGCTACTCTACGCATTTCTAAGCTTGGGAAACAATTTAAGCAATGTGTTTGTTGAAGAATCAGAATCAACACTTCTGGATTCAGAACGCTCGACCACTATCCCAATGGCCATTCACGAATGGAGGACGCTTAGGTAGGCAATGTGGTTCTGTGCGAAGACTCCTGGGATACCTCTTCACTCTTCATTGATCAAATGGACCTGTGACACTGTGGGTAACACCGCCAAAAAAACAAAATGCGTGTGATATGAAGAGGCTTTACTCCCAGGTGTGTCTGCTCACAAATTCCTGCCAGCACACCTGGCTGCATGCCCTGTAATCCAGGTAAGGCCAGGCCGTTGGTCCATGGTTATGCACGAAGTTGATTAATTTTTGCGAATGAGCCCGGATGAAATGGGTTTCTCAAAAAGCATAGGCTAGGTCACCATCAACTAAAGCTTCCTCGTGTTCCTTTTGCGTGTTCCTCACGAGGGTTTTTGTTGGGCCTGGCCACACACCTGTGCGCCTCAACTCGCCTGAGTAATAAAGCAATGAGTACTCGAACAGTACTGGGCCAGCGCTGTCCAGCAGCTGGGCGGGGACAGTGTCACATTGAAGCATGCGAACACGACCAACGTAACATCAACAAATTTGGCGAACCTTCATGGCCTTTTTGCTTCAAAACTGAATGTTCAATCAAATAATCTACCTCCGTAAAGGCGCATCACAAAATCCATCAAAGAGTCGAAAACATCTGAAAACAAACCCATTGCTTCCAACATCAAAAGGCTTGCTGATTCCAGGTTCGCCCAACCGAGGCCTCAGTTTGCGATAGCTTCCTGGCATGTCGAGTTCGTGCATTTGTGCGGTCAATCTTCTCAGGCATTGATCTTTCCGTGATCGCTGTGGCAGGATTCTTTCTGAAAAACCAAAGTCCACCCCATGGAGGGAAAACAGTCGTTCAGTCATTTGTTCCGTGCAACTCCACCCCTGTCGCGCTCATCACGCAACTCTACCGCAAATTGGTACACCTTTGGCATCTCAACTTCCTTCTCCAGGCGTTCGAGAAACCTGGTTGCAAGCCAAGTGCGCCCTATAGGTAAAAACCGGAAGGGAAGCTACTTAAAATATTGCTGCAAATGCTCATTAGGTGAAGAACGCTTGCAAACAAAAATGTTCGCTGGCCACCTTTTGGTATTGGCGCCGCTCCAGCGCTGCTTCAATTCCTTCGAGGACAAACAAGAAACATGATCGACATTCTCAACTTCTCAAATCGTCCTGTGCAATCCCGATGAACGCCTATGCATGGCTGCATGGTTGTCATGTCGTCAAGTGCTTCTTCAAGTCAAGTCCAAGTTGCCCCTTCATTGTTTCAGTTCGGCATTAACATCCTTGACTCCTATCCGCCCAACTCTCCAAAACATACAGGTGGTGCTTTGGACAGCCTGTTGAGTTGCCATCGCCATGCTACAGCCAAGTTGGGAAAAGTGAAGCTGAAGGAAAGATGGCAGTGTGAACACGATCGCCATCCCACATAACATCACTTGGCCAGTTTTGAAAGTGAAATGACATACATCAAAGAAACTGCTAGGCATTCTAGAAAAATCTAGAAAACAAAAACTAAAGACCTTCTAAGTGAAATAGCTGTGGCCCATCTCTCCGTTTGACGGGGGCAATGTGGATGAGAAGCAAAAACCTGGATCACGGGTAGAAGAACACAAAGGGAAGAGTCCTGGGGAGAACCCACACCCACCCACAACCCAACGTCGCTTCCCGACACAGCAAGTTCAAGAACCCAGGCTCCAGCACAACGGGGCCCGTTCCCCAAGGTATCACAAACAGTTACAAATGCGCTTGATTGGAAGCAGGTGGCTTGCACCAGTGTGCCCAGAAACAAACTCAGGATTGGCGGCAGCGGGAGGGGGAGAGAGAGCACGCCAGCAGGCGGGCGTGGCCACAGCAGCTCTGCAGCGCAACGGGGCGTGGAGGCTCTTCGTTCGCCCATCGACAACTCCAGCCTAGCCTATCGGCTGGCTTTCGTACTATATTACACATTCTGTTTAAGGAAGGGCACGACAACATCACAAAGACAATGACACTGAACGCTGCTGGAATGAACAGACAGGGTAGACCACTCTATGAGATCGTTGCGATATTGACGGGACAGTTGAATAACTTGGTTAAATGTCTGGTGAACGACACGCCCCCTTCGGCCCACCCACCCAACCACCCACCAACTTGCCACCCCATCCCCTCGAGACTTCAGTCAAAAGAGCATCCTGTTGCAGTTCTATGGAAACGATGAGGACCTTGTGAACATGATGAAAATATTGTGAATACGATGAAAGCAATCTCTGGATGTGACATCAACCACCTCTCCCCGACTTCAAGCAAAAAGCTCTGTCCTGGCCACGGTAGATCTCCATCGTCGGAAGCCTTGACATCCATGCAGTGTGAAACCATCACCAGTTGCTACACCAACAACTGTACTTATGTCTAGGGAACTCTTCCAGCAAGTGCTGGTGCAAACAATAACAGGTTTGCGCAGCTTTGCACTCAGAGTTTGAGGCGAATTCACACTTCTACCTGCCATGTGTGCTGCAACTTCAGGAGCA